ATGGCCACAGAAATAGCCTCCTCACCCCTCTCGGGCCACTCCATAAGCAGTCGCAAGCTTTGATTAGGTAAGCTTAAAGTGAGTCTGGAAGAGTCTACCAATAGAGTTGAAGGGAACATGTACATAGCAGTCCAAGCTGTTTCATTGCCACATATACCCTGTTCACCCCTTTGGGGCCACAGTTATAATCAATCTCAAGCCCTGATTATGTAGCCTATGCTAACTAACGCTGGTCGAGTCTACCTCACAAATGTGAGGGGAACTAACTCCTAATAATCTCTTGACTGCTGCGTGTGCTTGTTTTTTTCCCTCGACTTTTTACCGTCCTATAATCAGATCGTGACATCGATTATGCCACCAGCTCCTGGCCGCGAAAGGCTAACAAAAACAGCCAAATGTGAAATTTAAAAAATGATAATTGTCATGTTCTACCAAAGAGTTAGACTTACTGGTAGATCTAAAACATATAGATCTAGTACTGACATCTCTGCTTCTTTGCTTTGTGTTTATGTATTCACATCTAAAGTTAAATTTAATTTTAGTTGGAACTGATATTTAATAAGATACTTTCCCGATTATTTTGGCGGTTGAACATACAATATGAATTCCGGATTTGTTTTCATTCACAACTCAGAGTCGCCGCCTCGAGTAAGATTCTTGTGTGATATCTACAGGCCATATCTGGTCCCGTTTCACTTTGATTACCCTGTCAAACAAGTCAGCCTTCGCCCCTGGATCCAACCCTCTTTCAAAGGGATACATCATCCCAGCAAGCGAACGGAGATACTGGATGTAATAGGCTTGTGTACGTGAGAATGAAACTCACGTGTTTTGAATCGGCGAAGACCATAATCGTTACATTAGAGTGACTATAAGACAAAGTTATATTAAACGTTTAATTTCTTTATTATGTGATATGCAACGCGGCTGCAGTGAACCAGGTGGTTAAGTACTCAGCTACCACTCGAAGCTTGCCTAAATATTTGAATACGAAAGGAGAGAGAACACATTTTATTCGTTCTGCCTTTGATATTTTTTTCCCGACCTAAAAGCTTTGCCTTCTAAAGATTGTACCAAGCATTAAGGGATGGTAAATTATACTTCAATGAAATGACCTACAAAGCAATTCAGACTGACAAGTAAATTGTTCATAAGGATAGGCAATAAGAATGCTAACATCCTCAATCTAACATTGTTTTTTTAACGGTGGTGGGGGGTGGTAATTTATCATGTGTAGATAACCTGTGTGGGGGTGGAGATGCAGGGTAATAGTTACGCCGTTAGCCTAGCGCACAAAGAAATATGATCTATTGCCAAGTGGGGAAGGCTGTTTATTTAGTCTGCTGGGATGTGTTTTAGACGAGGTGACCTTGACAGGCACAATGGAAGCAGCCATTATTATTTTCAATAAGCGACAGACTGAAAAAAGTCTTGGACGTAAGTGCGCAGATTATATCTTATTTTATGCAGGATTCACTTCACTCCCCACCCCACCCCCCTTTCCAACCGCATGAACGATGCCTTTCATCAACCCTTTAGCCACGGAGTCTTCGAAGGCTGTTCGAGAAAGTCTCCCTGGCGTGTTCACCTACCCCGTGTTTTCACCGTCCTCATGTCCGCACCCAAACGGACACGACAAATAGGAAGAACAATTCCTACACAACTTTCAAGGAATTTAAGATGTTGGCGAAGTTGCTGAACATTTTTCTAGGCCCGCTTTCTGGGAGAATTTTTGTTTATGGCTCGTGCGTATACGTAGATCTGTTGATTTCGTGCGGTTTCACCCGGGCAATTCTGGCTGGGTTTGTGCAAGTGGCTTACGGGCATTTAGGGATATTTACCATCCCTACGTCTTTCCTCTAAATTAATGCTAGCATTATGATCTAGTTAAAATGCTTTCAATGTTTACGGTAAGTCAGAAATTGTACTTACTGCACACAACTGGTTCTGTTAAATACATATTATGGTATTCGCAGCAGGCCAATAAGTTGAACGAAAACGAATGATAAATATTTTTATAATATTAGTTGTGTGTAACGTAGAAATCAGCTTATAGATCAGATCCCCTCTCGTGAGTGCTTATTCCACGAGACTATTGTTTTGAGATATGTCTTTCATTTAAGCGAGGGAGTTTATTTTAGGGACTTTTGGTTTCTACTTTTTGCCAGGGCTGGTTCTTCCAGCTGACGAATGGATCCAGGCTGCTCCTTTCTCTCTCCTCTGGTCCCCCCTTTTTTGTATGAGTAAAGAAAGCACATCGATACCATAACGACCGTTTAGTGGAGGGGACTGCCAGACAGAAACAACATGGGGATAGAGAAGAAGTAGAACCTTCCAAAGGCACGCACCAACCACCCTTGTTTGCCTTCATGTAAGTTGTCTTCCGTTGATGCCAGGGCTTTGTGTCCAACAGAAACGCCCGCTCTAAGAAAACAGCCAATAATTTAAGTGCATTTTTCTGCTAGCACTCTTATATTCCTTTGGCACCCCCTCTCTCCTC